GTGGATCACTGTGCATATGGGTGAGTCAGAGGGGGTGACCTGGAAGGTATGTCCTGTCCCCAGCCCTTACTCCTGTTCTGCTTCCTGGCTGCCATGAGTTGAGCAGCTTTCCTCTGCCACACCCTTCCACTATGATGTTCCTGCCTTGGAGCCGGTCAACCATAGGCTGAGACTGCTGACATCCTGAGCCAGAATAAACCTTTTCTCCAGTAAGTTGTATCTGTCAGGTATTTTCTCCCAGCAATGCAAAGGTGACTAATACAATGAATGGGCCACTGATTTATAGAATTCAGAGTACTCATAAATTTTCTTCTCCCTGATCTCTCACACAACAAGGAAACACATTTCTCACATCCATTTTACATGGAGGAAATCCCACTGAGAGAGGTAAACACAGGACTCACATCTTTTTTTTCGGTTTCTTCATCTAGATCCTTCACAATTACTGCTAATGTAAGAAAAGACACATGAAAGAGCCACTGTGTCTTAGTCTGTTTTCTGTTGCTAGTAACACAGTCCTACTGACTGGGTACATTATAAACAAAGAGGTTTATTTTTTTCAGGGACTGGTCCTAAGACAAGGGGCCTCATCTGGTGATACCATTACATCATTGGGCATTAAAGGCATCACAAAGCAAGAGACAGGGAGTGTGCCAATATACCCTGTCTCTCTCCCTCTTTTTATAAGGCCTCCAGTATTCGATCATGGGATCTCCATCCTCATGACCTTATCTAACCCTAATCACCTCCCAAAGGCCCGGCCTCTAACAGGAGATTAAATTTCCACCCTCTCAATGCCTCAGAATGGAACTGAACTCCAACTGGATTACGGGGAGAGACAAACTATACTCAAATCATAGTCTTCCACCACTAGCTCCCCCAAACTCATTTCCTTCTCATACACAAAATACAATCATTCCATCCAAATAGTCCTAATGTTTTTACTAATTCTGGCATTAATTCAAAAGTCTAAAAGTCTCAGCTGAACAACCCTGTTGCTAGGTCCCGTGAGAACTATATCAATTCCTTCCAAGGGTAGTGCCCCCATGTACCCAATTCTCCAATTCCCAGTCTCCACCAGCTCCCAACTTTGTTACTGAGGACCAAGCTTCCATGAGCCTCGGGGGGAGGGGAAGGCACACCCAAATCACACTCAAATCATGGCACACTGTGAGGGGACAGCAATGAAGCAATCATGGAAAATTGCTAAGCAGAGATTTCAGTTGGGGCTTTAAGGGAAAACATGTTAGCTTATTTCAAGAAGAAAATGAACTTATTCACAACACATTTACAGTAAGTTTCATGGTGTATTTAACCAGTACCAAACCTAAAATGTCACTCAGTCTTTAGCAATGATACAAACACTAATGCTAATCAACACATGGGGCTTTAGACCCTGTGAAGGGTCACACCTCAGTAGTAGGGCTTAATTAGCACAACAGCAAGTGCTGCTCTAGACTTACCTTAACAAAGGTTAACAATGAGTCTAGAAAACAGTAAATTTTGTTATATATGTATTTTTCCACCATAAGTCTTAGAAAGGTAAAATTGATTTACAAGTAATTTGACTGCTACTCAAAACAAAATTCAGTAATCACAAAAGGCTGATAACAAAATCCATATTTTTAACATGTCAATGTCCAGCATTCAAAGATTCCTAAATATGCAAAGAAGCAGGAAAATGTGATTCATAATAAAAGAAAAAATCAGTCAATAGACAACAATGCCAAAATGATAAAAAACAGGACTTTAAAAGACCAACTGTAAATATGCTAAAAAATTCTTTTAAAATGGAAAGAGAAAGGTAATTATAAAAAAGAACAAAATAGAGGGTTTTGGCACTGAAAAATATATCTGAAATGAAAAATTGTACTGAATGGACTTAAAAAAGAGTAGATGATGCAGAAAAAAAGATGAATGAACTTGAAGATACAGCAATAGAAATTATCCAAACTGAAGCACAGAGACAAGAATCAGAAAATAAATGAATAGAGCCTCAGTGGCTTGTGGGACAGTACCAGAAGAGGGGTAGAACAGAAAAAAATTCTACAAATAATGGCCTTACAATCTTCAGTTTGTATGAAAACCACAGACCTACAAATTCAATGAGCCTTGAGCAGAAAATACCAAAAAAATCATACCGTGGCATATTATAATCAAACTGATGAAAACTACTGATAAATCTTAAAAGCAGCCAAAGAGAAAAACACATTATGCCCAAGACAAACAAGCTATGTGTGGCCGGTGGCTTTTCACTAGAAGAACGTGTGAACCAGAATGACGTCTGTAAAGTTCTGAAAGAAAAAGCCCTGACGTGTTCCATGGGATTTATAATTCATGTAAAGTAAAATGTATCATAACAAATGTATAAAGGACAGGAAGGGAAAATGGAAACATTATTGTAAGGTTTGCATATGTGAAGTCATATGATTTTATTTGATGATGGAGACTGTGATAAATTTTCATATGGACTTTGTACATCTTAGAGCAAACACTAGTTCTCCACCTACCAAGAAAGAGGCATAGCTAGTAAGTCAAAAGTGGAGATATAATGCAATACAAAAGGATACACAACGAATCAAAGCTAAACAGAAAAGGGTCCGGGGTTTAGCTCAGTGGTTTCACCACCTGCCCCCGCAAGGACCCGAGTTCAATCCCCGGTACCCAAAAAAGAAAATAAATAAAATAAACAGGAAAAGAGGAAAAGGGTGAACAAATGTGGCAAGTGGAAAAAACAGCAAGATGGTGGAATTGTTATATTAAATATAAATGTTCTGAATGCCCCCTAAAAAGCAGGGATAATCAAACTGAATAAACAAATAAGACTCACTCGACTATATCACATAAATGTTGCTGTGGATTTGGAACGACAGGACTGACTGGGGAGCTGCCAAACCATTCCTAGCGTTCCGGAAAGCTACTCACTACCCTTTGTTAAATTCCTTTTCCGGCTAAACTTCCCCAGTGGGTCTGTGAGTCTCGCCACCAAGGATCTTCCGCGGTGCAGACGAGATGTGGAGGCGGAAGTGTTGTAGCACAACTAGGGCCCTAGGTCTTCCTTTCCACTCCTTCCCTAGCGATCAATGTGCACAGTGCTAGCTGCAGAATGTGTACGCTCCTGTGGGTCACCAGTAAATGACGATGCCACTTAACCCGATGGTCAAGAAAGGCCAACTTCAGCCCACTTCCTGTAGTGTGTTCTCTAGGTGAGAGTAGTAGTTAGGATACGAAATATACTCACACCAAGGGCCAAAGAGATAGAGTCCTCCTAACTCGATGGGGAAAAAGTGTCTAATTTTAGTCCGCACACCTTCTTTAAGCCTTTATCTTCCCCTAATCTGCATGCCTAATTTATATTCACAGTGTCTAGACAGGAGCAAAAAGTAAAACAAAAACCAGGAAGTAAAGATGATTTATTTCTTCACGATTCATTTCCCAAATAGAGCTGAAGTGGGATTCGTGCCCTCAGAGTCAGATGTGTCATCAGGTTACCAGGACAACCAGTAACCAGGGAGAGTGACTGTCTCCTGCTGCTTATGGCTGGGGGGGTGGGGGGATGGAAGTAATGTCAGTCCTTTGTGTGAAGACTGGATTTGGGCAGCCAGTTGAGGGTTCCAGGGAGAAAAATGCTTTCTTACAGCTGCTCACCTTGGGGTGGGGACCACCATGACTGGATAGAGCACACCTTCAAACCTCAGATTCCTCGTCTCTAAAACTAAATGTGAACACCCATTTGGTAATACTGCGGGAGGATTCGATGTGCTCATAAGTACTAAGTATACAGGGTAATGGGAGCTATGCAGAATTTTTATTTCACATGATGTCACTCGGGCCCCAGGTAATTAATATGAGCCACTCTGTGCTGCACTTTCACTACGTGCTGTTCCCCGAGCTAAGGGCTCACACGTAATCCACTTCATCTGCATAATAAGCCTTCAGAGTATTTATCTCTTTTAGAATTCAGGCTTCAGAGAGGTTAGGTGATCTGTCCATGGTCACACAGCTCGCAGAAGGGTCAAGACTTAGGCCCAGGATTAGTCCGCATCTTTTATGAGTTCCTATATTTATTCAGTGCAGATTTATTGAGTACTTACTACTCACACCCACCACACAAAATTGTATCCTGCGGCGAAAAATGCTTATCTTTCAGTGAGCATTCAATGCTGGCACGATACTTATTGAATTATAAAGCTGTTTCTCATTATCGTTGAACAAATCATCCACTCAGGCTGACAATCACATTGATTTATACTACATTCTTTTCCTAAAATCTTCACGTTACTGCTTTTCCCAGCAAACAGAAGATGCGGCTTCGCAGGTCTTCTCTGCAGACCGCCGCCCCCTCTGGTGGGAGATGGGAACAGCACCCAGACCCCGGAGACTTCCCCAACGTGGGCTCCTTGATTACCCGAATCTATCCACAGCCATCACGACCTGGCAGGCCTTGCTTTTTCCACATGGATACCCTCATTTAATCCTCGCACCCGTCTGGGATGTGCTGTTATTATTTATCATGGGCCGCCAGACAAAATCAGTCCGTTTTACAAAACGAGAAACTCGAGGCCCGGGCGTTATCTTCCTTCCCCACCCCCGGGAATCCGGGTTCAAAAACTTGCTGAGGGTGGTACAGGGGATTTCGATCCAGGCAGTGTCCCAGGCCTGAGTTAATGGTTAGTGAAACTTTTTTTTGGTTTTGCTGAGGGAGTAGAATTGAATTTCCCAAAGTTAAAGGCTCCTTTGACACAATTCAACTCCATGTTAACAACTTGAGGGTGTCTCAGCCTTAGGGTGTCTCAGCCTTTAGGGTACTCCCTATCTCCTGCAAAAGACCCTGCAGTCTCTCTGGGGAGGCACTGGTCCTTCAGCTGTGTGTCCTCAGGGAAGCAGCTGGGAGGTGCACACAAGCGGGAGCACAGTGAATGGACATGGAAATAGGAAATAAGAGAAGGACGTAGGAGAAAGGAAAAGAGCTAAGTTGTCTCTATGAACATGGGTCTCACCTTCTGCAGCTTCTTTCGTTCAGCCTCCACCGAGCAGCGCACTGACTTGATTTCCACCGTGTGCTTTTTTACCAAGTCTTCCAGGCGCTTCAGGAGCTGGTCTTGGAGGTGTTTCTTCTCCTCTTCAGTCTGACGCCTGATCTCATGAAGGTCTTCTTCGTATTGTTGCTTCATACATTCTGTCTCAACATTTGCCTCTTTCTTGCTCTGCAAAAAAGTCAAGACCTTGTAAAATTGCTGAGAAGGGGTGAGGTTCAGGGAATCACCACTTCTGTTTTATACAACCCTTACAACATTTATATACTGATTTTACAGCATTATCAGAAGGTGCAATAAACTTTATAAGACTATATACTTGGTTATTTAGAAGAGACTTTATCCATCATTGGAAGAGGGCTCTTGGGAATGGCGTATCGTCACAGGATCAGATGTTCTAGTGCATACTATAGTCATTTCTAAAGGATGCTTTGTTTGCTTTGACTGAGAATATGTGGTAGGCTTTTAAGCAATTTCTAGTTTCCTAGGAGCTGGTATAGAAAATAGGGCAAATTCTGCTTATATTCTCCTAGTTTCAAATGGCATGGGACTGACAGGAAGCTGGCTGGAACTCCACTCTTGATTCATCTTGTCTTGAAATCGTCAGACCTAAGGATTTCAACTACTTGGAATCCCTTGTGGCTGGGGAATGACCTCTACCTGAAGCTCATGTGGCAAAGCCCCCTGTGCCTTCTCTGTCTTCTGGCTGGTCAGGTACTACCTGTATATCTGTGCCACCCTTCATGCTGGGACACTCCTTGGGAAGGCTTTGGTCCTGCTGAGGATGAAGACTGTGGGCTTCCAAGTCACTTGCTTCCCCTAGGACGTCATTCTCAGTCTTCATGTCATCTGCAACATAAGTTTCAACATCATTTGAGGTGCTGCTGGCCTTGGCCTCATGTTCAAGGCCTTCTGTACTCAGGTCCCTGTTCTTCTATGCAACTATTCTGTCTACCATTGCTCCATGTCCTCCCTGCTCTGTGGCCTGCTGGTCTTCAAGTGTGATCACCATAGTGACTTTGCTCAAGCAGTATCCTGAGGTTAAATAATTACTGTGCTCTCCCTTTATAAACTAGTAAACTCCAATTTTTTGGTTGGATTTCATATAGATTAAAAACAGCATATTTCCCAGTGTATGTACACCCATAGGAATTTAAAGGAGAAAAAAATCAATGTGAATAGTATCAGTACTTTTTCTTCCTGTTCTGAGGTTCTCATGCCCTATTTTTGAAGACCACCTTTCTACATTTCTCAGTGCCCTCCGGGTTCAAACTCAAATCTCTTTTCTTCCTCACCCTTCCAGCTCATGAAAAGATGATTTCTTCCCCAGAAGTATCATTGCCTTGCTGCCTGGGCCATTCCCCAGATACCAGAGCATGCTGCGGGCTGTACTGTAACAGTCCCATAAGCTCCTAGGTGGCAGAGCCCACATTTTTGCCTCTGTTGTTGAGCTGGTCACACTATGGGTATTTCAAAAACTTTCTGTTCAGGGAGCCTAGTGGAAGGCACTTGGAATCAGACACTCTTAGATACACCTACCAGCTTTCTTGTCAACCATCTGGCTGACGTGGAACGGGCACTATCCCTTCTCAGTCTCATTTCTTAATTTGTAACATAGGAGAATGACCATACCTATCGTACAGAATTATGGAAAAAACCTAATAAAGTGAGGGAAATGATGTTAAAATTACAAAGCTCTGTTTAAAGATGGAGGAGGAAAAGCCCACACTGAGAAATGCAGGCCTGCTGGGGAAATAATGAAGGGAAGGGGTGCTTTCTTATCACACCTTTGCTGTTGTGGCACTGGGGATTGAGCCCAGGATTTCCCACCGAGCTATACCTCCAGCCCCTTTATTTTTATTGTTTTTTAAATTTTGTGTGAGGGTCTAAGACTCCCAGGCTGGCCCAAACCTTCGATCCCTGTCTCGCTTCCCAGAGTGCTGACATTAGAGGCATGTGCCACACACCTATCTGGCTTTGGGGCACACTTTTTAGTTGTCTGACCTATGCCAGCTCCAGCTGAGCAAGTCTCGGTGACAGGTGAGGGCTCGCCTGTGCCCCGCAGGGACTGGACTCATCCACTTGGCAGGCAACATCCAACAGCCCTGCCGGCCCTCCCTGCTCCTCCTGACAGTCCAAAGGCTGCAGAAGCACCAGGCCATCCTGGCAGCTAACCTTCAGGCTTTAAGGGCCTGTTCCAGCATCTCACCTGCTTTCTGTGTCACATGACACTCCTGTAGCATCAGTCTGTCTTTGGCAACAGCCAGCTTCTCCCCGAGTTTTTTGGCAGTGCTCTTCAGCTCTGAATTCTCCTGCCGAGCCTCCCTCAGCTGCACATCCAGGTCCTAAATGACAGGAAGGGTCTCAGTTCTCTGCTTACAGCTCTGTAGAGAGACCAGCTGTGTGCACTGAACAGCCATCAGATCTGAAGGTGGGCTGGCACTCGACAGGAGCCCCCGGAATTGAGTCCCTGGAACTAGTGGCTCAGGTTCATCAAAATCCGTGCATAAAACACATATGTGTAAACACCGAATAGTTCCTGTAGTGTGAGAAACTGATAGTGTAATTAAGGATACACATGGATGAAATGGCCTAATAACGTATTTCTCAGATTGTGTTTCCATCGCGTGTCATATGACTCTATTGAAATTAGGGAGAAGCTTGGCTTATGTGGAGTCTGCTAACTAACTGGAGTTTTTTTCCAGACCACTATTTGTTCAGTGTTGGTTTTGGGGATCTTTCTGAAACAAATCACATCCTCTGGTGTCTTGTTGGTGCTTGAGATGCTTTTTTAAATTATATGGAAAAATGTTTAAGTCCTTTGTAGTTTTGTTTTGGTTGAGTTCTACTGTATTTGAATATTATTGTAGTTTTTTTCCCTTGCATTTGTTCTTCTTTGAATGGTTTTAATTTTTGTATGTGTGTGTGTGTTTGATAATAAAGTTATTTTTTAAAAAACCCATGCATCTTCTGATTGGCTGTGTGGCCCTGGGCAAGGCACTTAACCTTCCCTAGTGAGGAGGATTCAATGAGATAAAGTGTTTGGTAGAGGGAAAAAAGAGTGCTCAGGGAGTATTAGAAATTTTAGCTGCTGCTACTTTCAGAGATGGGGTTCTGTGCTTTTGTAGGACTCACATAACTGACTCATGGATGGCCCCTCTCTTTGGACACAAAGGTCCAAGGGTTTTTAGGAGAGGCAAGTTGTTACAGAATTAGCACAGACTTTAGAATTAGGCTGAACTGAGCCCCAAATCTTTTCCCGTTTGCCCAGCTAGGCCTGTCTTTATGTCTCTGAATTTTTCATCTGTAAACTGTAAATCTCTAAGTTCTGAGGTGAGGGGCCAAGTCTAGCTTACCATGCATCCCCTTCCTCTAGCCGAGGACCCGGCACACAGTAAGCACTCAGTAGGTATTTGCTGAATGAATGTAGATGAACTTGACGGAGACAGTGACACCTTGGTAGAAGTCAAGTTCACAGCACAGTGCCCGACACATAGCAGGCATTCAGCATTAGCCCTACCTATCACCCGGGTGGGGAGGTGTGGCTTTACCTGGATCTTTTCCTTCAGCTTCTGGCCATATTTCTTCAGGTCACTGATCTTGCGGCCCCTGTGCTCCAGGTCCCCTTCCAGCTTCCTGACCTGGGCCTGCAGGGCAGACTCCTGCACCTGGAAGTTCTTTCGGAGGTCGCTCTCCTTCTCCTGCCACTGCCACAGGGCCTCGCTCACCGACTGCTGCATGGCCTGCCGGATGGCCTCATTTTCCCGCTCGTAGGTGGCTTGCAGCTCCTCGGCCTTGTGGGCATAGTCCTGGCTCAGCTGCTGGTTCTCTGCCCGCAGCCGCTCCACCTCCAGCAGCACCTCCTGCATCCCGGGGACCTGGCCAGACTCTGCCTTGGCTTCCGGCCTCTCCTGGGAAAGCCGGCCCCAGGGGGGACCCTCGTGGTTCGCCAGGTGCCGCAGCCTCTTCTCGTAGTCAGCCTTGAGCTCCAGCATCTCCTTGGAGAGCGTCAGCACCCGCTCCGCATGCTCGGCCTCCACCCTCAGCTCTCTCTCTTTGGTCTCCAGCCTGCACGTGGCTGACTCGGCCAGAGCCTCCTGGGTCAGCTTCTTCTGCAGCTCCAGGGCACTCTCCAGGGCCTGGATGCGCCGGAACAGAGCCTCCTCATCGTCCTTGGGGTGGCCCTGTTCCTGCAGGAGCCTGGCTTTGGTCTCAGCCACTACGCTCTGGAGCTCCTCCTGGTGTGCTTCCCGAAGTGCCTCCACGCCGGCCTGGGCCTCATCCTGGCGGGTGTTCAGGGCATAAATCACCTGCAGGAAAACCCAGAGCTGGGTTAGGGAAAGAGGCTGGGTGTGTGTGTGTGAGGGGGCCGTGTCCAGAGATGCTCCTTCACCTTCGCTGGAGAACTTCCGGCTTCCCCACAAGCAGGGACTGAGAAGGGAATATGGGTGGCAGTGATTTATTAGAAACAATTCTTGGGAGAAGCCATGAGTAAGTGGGGAAGTGGGACAGAGGTGGTGCAAGGCTAAGGAGTGGCGCTGCACAACCATCTCACAAGGGGATCTCTGGCCGAGCTGGGGCCACCGCCAGAGTGCAGCAGGAATTCAGGGGAGAGTTTTCACGCAGAGATGTGATGGGACTTTGGCTTGTTCAAAAGGAAGACTCAGAATGCAAAAACCCAATGGAACTTTAGAAAACTGAACCCAGTAATATTTTCAATAGATGTAAAAGAAACATTTGAGAAAACTCAACATCTTTCTGTGATGAGAGCACTCAACGAGCTAGAAGCTCAAGAGCACCTCCTCAGTCTGACAAAGCACCTCCATGGAAGATCCATGGTTAGCATCACATTCCAGCTCATAAGACTGAATGCTTTCCTTAGAAGATCAGGACAAGGACAAGGATGCTCTCCCTTTCTACTTGTAAAACAAAAGGAAGATGTTCTGTTTGTTGCGTAGATAGGATGAGGAGAGACAGGAACAAAGTGGGAAACCCATGGGTCAAGAAGGACTCCCAGGAGGTTGTGAATGGGAAAACTGCAGGTAGACTATGTATGGAGAAGAAAACTGAGAATTCTCTTTAGAGGTGATGAATTCCATATGCCTCTAGATGTCCTTGTGGAGAAGGCACCAAGGCAAATAGATACATGTCTGGAGCTCAAAGAAGAAAGCCTGAGCTAGAGATGAAGGAGACACAGAATCAGGAAAAGTTTTGCTTGATGAGAGATTTGAAAACACAGCTTTATGAAGGCAGGAATGACTGACACCCCCCGCCATGGAAAACCCAGAGGTTGATAATGGATAATAAAGGATTAAATTCCCTAAGAAGAGTGGTCCCTGGAGATGGGTCCTCCTCAGGAGTAGGAGGGAAGGGAGAGGAAGGAACAGCCCATGGTACTTGCAACAGCAGCATGAGGGAACCGTCCACTTGTAGAGGTGAGAAGGTAGCTTCTACATTGTCAACAAAGAATGAGATAAGGACATCAAGTAACTGTGCTGAGTTGGATAGGAGGGAGGCATGGGAGGCTTGAGGAGAGAGGGGTTGGGAACTGGATCTTAGGAAGGGAAGTAAGGAGTCTGTATTGCAAGGCAGCAGTTGATGGGTTGCGGGTGGTTTCTGATTCATGAGTCAGTTTACTGAACTTGAACTGGACTATAATGTCACTGTCAGATTCCTCCCACTGCTTCACCTGTGGTTTCCAAACTGTATCCTTGAGTTCCTCAGAGGTTGAGGGTCATTTCAGGAGCCTGGTGGAGGTTTACCAAGTGGGGACCCCCTCTTCAACCAGAGAATAACAGTGTTTATGCTGAGGTTCCCCTAACACATAGCTTAGAAAGCACAAAAGTTTCCATTGTGTTAAAAAAAAAAGTTGAACTGGGCACAGTGCCACACACCTATATTCCTACCTACTTGTGAGGCTGAGGCAGGAAGATTGCTTGAGCTCATAAGTTTGAGACCAGCCTGGGAAACATAAGGGGACCCCACTGAAAAAAAGTTGCAAACCTTAGATAATTATTAAATAGAGAATAGACCAAACAAAAATCATATATGAGGGCCGGGTATTTAGCTCAGTGGTTCTGCCACCTGCCCTGCAAGCACAAGGTCACAAGTTCGATCCCCGGTACCACCCCCCCCCCCCGCAATGATATATGAGAAGAAGTTTAGGGTGTATGTATGTGCATACATGTATACATGTGCATAATTACAAAATGATTGTTGAAGTCCAAATGGCACTACTAGAGGTGATACAAATAACAGATTTAACAGCAGTTTACTTAGGGAATGCAGACCTTGGAGAAAGAGTAACTATATATCCAGGACACAGCCTAAGGTCTTTTCATTGTCGCTCTGTGGTCTAATAACTGGTTTATTGTCCATCTTAACCCCAAAAATGTAAGCTCTGTGACAGAGAAGCTTGGCCTTTACTTGTCACTTTTCATCCTCACTGCCTGGCTCAAGGTGGACACACTGAGAAGATGTCTTAGTAAGGTCAGTGAAAGAACCAACTTAGGACTCAGGACTTTCTCTTGGAGAATGTGGCTGTCAAAGTGTGAGGTGAGCCTGGTCTCTGTGGAAACCTGAGAGAATAAGCACCATCTGGGGAATCACGAATCCAACTCTCTGTGTGTGAGGGTCAACGGGAGAAATCCCTTCCCGCTCCCAGAAAGACTCCACAGTGAGATGCAGCTGCTGTCTTTAGATCTCCTCCCTCTCACCACTGTGCACAGGCTTTGGCCACTTCTAGAGGTTTCTAGGGCATCCTAATGACTGTTTCTGGAATAAGTGACATCAAAATTGGTACCTCATTGGCTGTGATCTGTGTTAATAACAAAAACTATTTTTATAGACTCTACTGTGTGCCCAGTATAGGGACAGGTGCTATATACTCATTTATAATTTCAGAAAATTCCCATGGCAACTCTGCAAAATTAGTACTTTTTTTTCCCTATTTTAAGAATGAGAAATTGAGTTTCAGAGAAGGTCAGGAGATTTGCAAGGTCAGAGATTAGCTCTGAAGTACACGCTCACTTCGTGGGCCACACTGTATCTCACCGACTCAGCGAGTCATTTATTCATTCATGATTCACAGCACATCTTGGATGGCCCAGGTTCCATGCTGGGCACTGAGTCACCTGAATTTGTGGCCTCAAAAATATAATTTAGCAGAAGAGTCAGACAGGAAAATGGCAAATTTCAATGCACTCTGATAAGTGCTATCAGAGGATTCAGCATCAGTTACTATGGAAACACAGAGGCAAGGGTCTGATAAGAAAAACAACTTCCTGGAAGAAGTGAGCCTCGCCTCCTCAGCCTTGGGGTGAGCGATCTGCTTTTCCATGTCAATCTCCACATGGGCAAGAACAGCCTTGCTTCTGTGTGCTCCTCCTCAGCACTAGGTAGGAAGCTGAGCCCACAGTAGGCTCACAATGAGGATGTATCTGGGACTGGCGAAGGTCATCCGAAGTTACTGCAGGGAGTGGCCACATAACAGAGACCACACTTCCTAGCTCCCTGTGGTTACATGGGACCACATGCCTAGGATTGTGAATGGAATTTGGGTAGATCAAGGGATGTGTGTCACCTTGGGGCCAACGTGGTGCTCAAGTTAAGAAAAGGGTGTGTGCCAGGAGTGGTGGCATATATCTGTAATCCCAGCACTCTAGGAGGCTGAGGCAGGAGGATCACTCACTGTGAAGGCCCTGGGTTCAATTCCTAGTATCGAAAAAAGAAAAAGAAAAAAGAGTATGTTTTCTCACAGTCTCTTTTACGATCTGCAGACTTGGTGGAGAAGATTCAGAAGACGTAGAGGAAGATGAAGTCCAAGATGGAAGGTATTTGAGACCTGAATAACCAAATAGAGCCACCCACCCACAGGAAGCACTGGCAGCTACCTTTACATGAGACAGAGATAAACTACTGCATTGAGCCCCTCACCTCCTAGTGCTTGTCTCTTACAGTATCTACTCTTTACACTGATGTGTTGGAGGCTCCAAGACCATGCCCAGGTTTGGTGATTCATTACAGAACACACAGGGCTCAGCAATAGTCATACTCATGGCTATGATTCTTTACACCAAAGGACACAAAGCAAAGTAAGCTGAGGAAGGGAAAAGGCACATGGGTGAAATCTGGAAAACAAGCCAGGAGCAAGCATCCAAGGGTCCCCTGTCAGGGGAGTTAATTCACCTAGTGAGGACTTGTGACAACACCTACAATGTGTCTAGCAAGGAAGTTTTCAAAGTCTTTGCCTCCAAACTTTTTACTGGGGGCTATTCAAATCAGCTTCCACTGGAAGGTTCCAAAGTCTTGAACTCTCAGAAGGAAAGGAGGTCTTCAGTGCTAACCACGTTGTTTGCACGAACATTTTAAGAATTGTAAGCAGCTGTTATCAGTTTAAATAGTGGGATATCTCAGGAAATTGGATTTTTCAGATACTAGCTGAGAGGCAATTTTGCAAACAATCCAGTCTAAAAACAAGCACTCTCAGGCTTGCTATGTTAACTCTTTTCTGCACACCTAATATCTCAACTGATAGAAGACTGATTTTTTTTCACTTCAACAGTCATGGTTGTGACATGAGGCAAATCTTATAATGGGTGTTTTTCATGGTAAAGAATAAAATATTCTAGAAAACATTATTCAATATAGTCTGGCATTGGTGATTCCATGGAATTTTTTTAAAAACTACATACTGACGTTGTTAGTGATCTCACAGTATGGAGGTCCTACAAGTGTAGAGTAGAAAATTTAGTTCCAGATCTAATATAGCCTGATGCTATATAAGCATTTGGTGAAAGAATGAACCTAAATGCCATTCCTGTTTGAGTAACAACCAAATCCCCTGGACGGGGGTGTTAAGGGCCTCACTTATTTCAAGCATGCTCACATGAGTCCTATCCGTTGTGTGAAAATTCTTTTTAGGTGGTCACTCCCAGATTAACACAGGACCAGATTTCAGGCTGGAGGAAGTATAGAAGGTCCCACACTGTGGGTATACAATGTCCAAGGACACTTCAGCATGTGCATATTTAGTCATGATGTCCTCCAACCGAAGTCCCAAAACCACCCCCACCAGGGACTGCCCAACTGTTCTGTTAGGCTGAGGTCTGGTTACTCAGCTCACTGTCTTCTTACCCACTATCTTCTGCCTTCTCTTTGCCTGCACTCCTTACCCAAGTGTTATTCGTACATCCTTCTAGGGATGGTGTATGCATAAACAAGCAAGTTTATTATATGATTTTGTATTATATTATATGTTATATAATATCATAGTCTACACCCTCTTTTATACACAGACACATTCATTTGA